CTAGCACGCAGCTTTGGTCCTTCACCCCAGCTCAGCCAGCTTTCAGGAACTCTAACCAGCCTGTCTTGCCAGCCAGCTCCTGAGCTACGTGAACTGACTTCTCTTCCTTCTCATCTCTATGAAATATTTACCTCTTTCCTTGATAGAAAACCATCCAGACTTGGATAAAATCACAATGGCAGATCCTAAAAACTAGGCCCTGGGGGGTTAGGCCTGAACTAGGCTACATACTACCACTCGTCACCGGCCACCTCCATCTAAGTCACGATCACATTTCTGTCTTTAAGTCAACAAGACTGCCAGCCCTGAGCAGGCTCACAGGTAGTCCCGCCAGTCAGAGTGGCCCCAGTCAAGCCACCAGCTGGCCGCCCCCAGCTCTTACCAAACCAGCTTCCTCAGGTCCCTGTGGCCAGGCTCCCAGCTGCCTTTTGAGTCAGCGCCTTAAACATCCGGCCACACTTCTGATCTGCAGTGGAGTTTCAACTCTGAGCCCCACTCACTCAAGCAATTGGGGGTTTCAGAGTCTGGAGTCACTACAGAAAAGTGAAAATGGGCAAAAAGACACATCAGAATTCAATACTGGACTTTTTTCTTCAGTCCTAATTTACCTTTAAATTAGGGTGATTTCTACTCAAGGCTAAGAGTTGTTTCTCAGCCTATAGCTGTAGTTTCAACCAGGGGTGGGGGTGGGGTGGGTGGGGGGCAGCTGTGCCCTCCAGAGGACATTTGGCAAAGTCTAGGCATTTTTTGTTGTTGTGACTAAGGGGATGCTACTGGCATCTAGTAGGTAGAGGCTAGGGATGCGAAGCATCCTACAGTGCACAGGGTTGTCTCACAACAAAGTGCCCGGTCCCAAATGTCAACAACACAGAGGCTAAGAAAACTCTGTCTAGATTAGCTAAGCTGACCAATTCCTCCTCTGCCCTCTGATGTAGGCCCCCAGTCCCCTCCTAGCCTCTTGCTGTGTCCTGTGGTGGCTCCCTTGCCCTCTCCAGTACTGAAAGTGTTTGCGATTCTGTCACCAAATGTCTCTCCGCTGGAGGGTATGGCCATCTGATCCGTGACTTCATGTCCTAACAGAGATGACTGTCACTTTGAATTCGGGGTCTTTACCTTTCTTCTAAACTTCAGACCCATCCTCCTCAATAGGCTGTAAAAGTCTCCATCCACTTGCCCATCCTTCCTTCGCCTCTGCTGTCTGAAACCAAGTCAGCTCTGCCATTTTGGCATCTCCCCCCCCCCACCCCCCCAGCTCCTCCCTGACTTCCCTTCCCCACTTGTCCCATCATCCAGGTGCCAAACATTGGCCCCGCCACCTCTTGTGCCATTCTAGCGGGTCCTTTGGGATCTCTCAAGTCCCTTCCTTCAGCCTTGCTGCTTCCTCCACAAGTTGTGGGCCTCTCTCCTTTAAAGGTCATGACCAGACACAAGCCCCTGTGTCCTCTTCCTCCAGACCATCCTCCACATTCTCTCTGCCCTTCCTAAAACTAGCCTCAAGTCCTCACTCGGACAAAAAAAACATCAGCACTTCCATTTCCTACCAAAAGAGCCTCAAAATTGCTTGCTCTGGTGTCTCATGATATCCTGGAGACCCATCGAACTTTCTCCAACTGCTCCTCCAAGACCCCACAGGGGGCTGCTCTCTCCACCCAGCCCTGCCCCTTGTTCCCAGCCATCTTTGTTGACCGCCAGCCAACACCTCCCATCCCCCACCGCCTATGCATACAGCAAGCCCTCTGTCCCTCCTGGGGAGCTCATCTGAAATGCCACGATCTCCATCAAGACTTTCAGGGTCCCCCCAGTTGAAGATCTTTTCTTTCCTGTCTGTGTTGTTTACCCTTGAGAATGGAGATCTGGCCCAATCTCTATCCCCTCAAAATATGTGCGCTCCTGCTAAAGAACCAAGGTACCAGGAAGGGCGGGGAACAAAGGGGTCCCGCGGGCCCATGAGCGCGTCGAACAAAGGGGCCCTGTCCCCATTCCTTGGTGAACAGTGCTCTGGGGAGCACTGGGGAGGCCTGGGGAGCGCAATCATCCTTTGGGGACCCCATCGCGCGGCCTCCCTGGCGCTCCAATCCCAGCATCTACTAACCTTGCTCTTCGGCAGAGCTCAGCATCCCTGTCGCCCCAACTCCTTGTCCATCGGGGCTGCTCATGTGCACGGGGCGGGCAGCTCTCTCTGTCCTCGGGGTCCTGGCCCTCTACCGCCAGGCCCGGGAAATCTTCGGCCTCGCCCCCGCCCGTCCCGTGTTGGGTATGTTTGCCCACCGCTCTCAGTGAGCCCGAGGGTTGGCCCCTGTGAGCCCGACCTCCCCTCCCAGCCTGGTGAGTTGTGGAGTCGGGAAGAATGACCCACGATGCCGGCTGGCCTCGTGGAGTCGCAGGCCTGACCGCCATACCAACCGCTTCCAAGCACCCCAGCAGCACAACCTCTTAGGGCGTTCCAACTCGGCGCCCCCTAAGGGACCTCCCACTCATATCCGGTTTCCGGTTCGAAGCCCCCTGCTCATTCGCCAGGCAGCCTTGATTGGCGTGACCCCAGCCCAATGGCTGACCCAGCGCTGGGGTCGAAGGGGAGCGAGTTGACTGTTGGGACCCAGTTGGCACATTGAGTGAGTGTTCAAGTGGTTGAGCTATTGCGCGTGGGTGTAGTTGGCCGAAGTTTGGACCAAAGTTCAGTGTTGGCATCTGGAAGTGTGTAGACCCCCTGAGCCGAGATGATACCTCTGTCGGGGGACCCAAACGTTACCCAGGGTTGGGCTCGGTCCGTCTTCCTCCACGCAGCGCGGCCCCACCGGATGGCAGACGAGGGGGGCGATGCCGCGCTGTGGCCGGGGTCTTCTCGCTCTGAAAGGGGAGTGTTCGATGCAATGAGATTGGATTGTGAGTGGTTCGCCCGCCCGCGGCGCGTCGATACAGAGATCCAGGCGGCGCGCCTCCCTTGCCGCAGCGCACCCTGTGTTCCTCTCATCCCCCGTTCCATCCGCTCCACATGTGATCCACATGTCCCCTGGCCACCTAAAGGTGACTCGCAAGCCCGTGTCACCCGCTGGCAACACAGACCTGCTGCCCGTGTCCCGGATTTTACGTGATCCGCCAGCAGCAATTTTTTTCACCCCGTGGTTCTAATCTGACAGTAGACCCCAGAGCCCGAGCAGTACACATGCGCGGAGCCCACCCAGGCGGTGTGCGTCTTTATCCCCTCCGGCTCTGAGCCCACCGCGCGCCACCAAGACGCGAGCGCAGTCCACGGCCGCTGGGTTTATGACCAGGCTTATTGCCGCCTCTGCGGGCTCTAGCAGTTGGAAAATAAAGCGGCTACCTGCAGATACCCATAGCAAGAGGAGAGGGGTTGGAAAGGGGACGGGAGCGGGGCTGGAAGGGGGCTGGAGGGGAGCCAGGGGAGGGAGCTGTGATGCTGCGGCGGGCGCCCGAGGCAGGAAGTAGCACATCGCGGCCGCTGTTAGTCGGCACCGCGGGGCTCGGCTTGGCGCGGGTTGGCGCGGCGCGGCATGATGTGTGCCTTTGGGCTCAGTGCGCACAGGGTTGACCAGTCTCTGAAAGCACCCTAAATCAGCCATAAATCCCAACTGAAATCCCCTCTAACCCTTCCCCAGAACAGTAGGACCCCCGGGAGTCTGAGGCCTGCACTCTGTGGGGTCCCCATGCTCATCCCGCATCCCCGCCGCCGGCCCCCCTCCCATCCGTGCCGCCGCAGTTACTGCTTGCGGCGGTCGCCAACCTTTCGGACCTCACGGACCACCAGTGGTCTGCGGACCACCGGTTGGAGACCGCTGCTCCGAAGGTTTCCTGAAACCAGCGGTCGCCAGCCTTTTGGACCTCACGGGCCACCAGTGGTCTGCGGACCACCGGTTGGGGCGACCGCTGGAGAGGGTCTCCGTGGTACGTACCCGAGACCCTCTTATTCCCTGAATCATTTGTCCACATAAACGCGGAACAACCCGGCCCGCGCGGCCCTCAGCGCCTGCGGAGACCCTCGGAGCGCGGTGGGGATGGGGGACATGTCAGTGATTTACATGAACCAGCCTCGACAAGTTGGCAAACGAAAGCGGCAGCGGCGATGGAAAGTGCCCCAAGACATTTTAAAAACAAATTGTGTGCACAAACTCAGCATCCCCTCGCCCCTCGCCTCCTGTCCTCTCCATCGGTGGGCTCACGACCACCTGTCGCATCCTCGCGCGCGCACTCGCCCCCTTACTAAAGCCTTGTGCGCCGGATTTGGGGCCCAGGATGGAAGGCTGCTCAGAGCTGGGGGCTGCGACTCTTGGGCTCAGGAGTATTTTGGGGTTACGAAACCTTCATGCAGTTCCCCCCTCCCTCCAAGGAGCGTCAGCGGCGCCTGGGAGGGAGGGTTTCAGCTCCTGCGCTCCAGCGTCCCGGGCCCACGTCTTGCGTCACGTGTCCCACAACGCAGGAGAGCTCTCTCTCTGGCCAGGGGAGCAGAGAGGAGATAGACTCCAAATCAGTCGGGGAGAGGAGTGGAAGAACCAAACCATCCCTGCGAGGCCTGCGCCCGTCGCCCCCTTACCCCAGGCCGGGGCTCCCGGCGACAGAAGCCGGCTCCTGCAGCCGCCCGGGCACCGGCCGGCGTCCTCTGGTGGCGGAGAGAGAGCACTACGTGCGACTTTCGGACCGAATCGACACGCTCCTCAGATCCAAACAGGCGGGGCTGGCCTGCAGAATGCAGAGAGACAGAGACAGAGGCTGAGGAGGGGGACCAGGGGAGGTCAGGAGGGGGCAGGGGCAGCCTGAGGACATGAAAAGAGCCAGGAAGGAGCTAAGACTCCACCAGCAACAATAGAGTTGCTTCTACCACAGTCTAGGATATGAAGGCCTGAACCCCGGCACCAGCAGGGGTTGAGAAAGTGAGGTTGAAGAACTGTCTGGCTGGTCATTTGATTTTTTTATTTTGAAAATATTTTTTTCACCCTAGTTTGGTTGGGTGCTCCATCCTACGGGGCCCCAAATTTATTTTAAGAGGCCGCCACCGTGTTATGGGCATGCGCAACTGCCTCTACGGCAATAATATGTCAGGACAACGCGATATCCCCCTTGAGCCCGAGGAACAGCCCGAGCAACCATCTTTGGAGGCCTCAGGGGCAGCTGCCCCCAGTGCTGGGCCTGGCGCAGCCGAAGAAATGGAGGCCCCATCGCCTCCCAGGGAGCCCGTCCCCATCGAGACTGAAGGCGAGGCCTGTGGACCTCCAGAGGCCTCCAGACCCAACGGCCAGAGTGAGGCAGTCCAGGAAGCCGGAGCCCATGGAGGCTACAGCCCACCTCCAGAGGAAGCCATGCCCTTCGAGGTCAAGCAGCCCAGCGTGGGAGGCTTCTGGCCGGCCCTGGAGCAGCCTGGAGACGCCAGGGGGGCCCTTAGCCCAGGGCTCGTGCAGCCCGGAGCCCGCAGGGAGGCCAGACCAGACCTGGGCAGCTACAGCCCTCCGCCCGAAGAGGCCATGCCCTTTGAGAGCGAGCAGCCTGCCCAGGGAGCGTGCCGCCAGCCTCTCCTGCAGATCTGCGCGCTCGCGCCAGGAGGCCCGGCCGTGGGGGTCTTTAGCGCCCCCTCAGAGGAGCCCCAAGTCCTCAGACCTGCCTACGCAGGCTGCGGAGGAAACTGCAGCCCTCCCCCTGAGGAGGCGATGCCATTTGCGTTTGATGGAGCAGCCTTGGGGGACGACAGCCCACCCCCTGGGCTCCCCCGAGCTACCCTACAAATCCACGACGGTGGCGGCGGCCACTTCGCGGCAGTCGCGGAGCCGCGTGCGATCCTCCTCGCTCCCGCCGCGAACGAGCCCCCCCTCTGGGACCCAGGAGCCAGCGTCAGCACATCCGGAGAGGCTGTCAGAGCTCCTCCACACTTCGTGGGCGACAGCCCCCCGATGGAGGTCTCCGGACCCCAGCTCGAGATTGGTAGCGCCCCCGCTGGGGTCGACGACGCTCCCGTCAACATGGACAGCCCCCCAGTCGCGCCTGACAGCCCGCCCATCGAGGTCTCCGGAGCCCCAGTTAAGAGAGAGCGAGCAGAGGGAGAGAGACCCCCAGTTGAAGGCGAAGCAGCCGAGATGGAAGGAAGCTCAGCCGCTGCAGCCGCAGCCGCAGCCGCAGAGGGAGACAAACTCCCGTCTCCCGGAGACGGAGACCGACACCGAGACGGAGACGGAGACGGAGACGGAGACCGAGCTCCTGTCGCCGGGGCCCCTGCTGCCGCCCCCGAAGCTCCAGACGCCGGGGCAGCCACCGATGCCTCAGCTGCCCCAGCAGCTCCGGAAGCCCCAGCAGCTCCAGAAGCCCCAGCAGCTCCAGGAGCCCCAGCAGCTCCAGAAGCCCCAGCAGCGCCCGCTGCCCCGGCCACTCCAGCCGCCCCGGCCGCTCCCGCCGCCCGAGCAGCTTCTGCTACCCGGCCCGCTCTCGCCGACAGGCCCGCTCTCGCCCCCCGGGCCGCAAGCGCCTCCCGGGCCACTCCTGCCCCCCGGCCAGTCCCTTACGCTGCAGCTGCCTGGGCAGTCCCAGCCTCCTGTTATGGTCCAAACGCTCCAGCTGCCCGCGCCGCCCGAGCCGCCCGAGCCGCCCAAGCAGCTCGAGCCGTGTCTGCTGCCTGGGCAGCCCCAGCCCCAGCCCCAGCCCCAGCTCCAGCCCCAGCCCCAGCCAGCGGAGCCCGCCCCAACCCCCGTTTCCTTAGACCCCCCAGCCCCGAGATCCAGGCTGCCGATCCGCCTACTCCGCAGCCTGCTCGCGCGTATGCCTGGCGGGCCCGGTCCGAGCGCGGCCGCGACGACGGATCGGGCAGCAGCAGCGATGAGTCCGACGAGAGGACCTTCGGATGCTACGTCTGCTGCCGGCCAAAGCGAAGTCGCTCCAGACCAAAGCCGAAGCGTAACTTGTTCCGCAACTTCGTCGATCGGGCCTTCCAGAGCTGCTTCGGCCAACCTGAGAACGACGAGTTCAGAGCCCCGCACAGTCCCAAGGTCACGACGATTCCTATGGTGGAGACTTGCAGACCGATGTGCCTGGAAACCCAGGAGCAGCGCTTCCAGATGCGCGAGCAGAGGAAGCGCAGCCAGCTCATCGACAGGCAGCTACAGGAGGAGAAGATGGGTTACACGTGTACGCACCGCCTGCTGCTTCTAGGTAATGCGGCGGACTCTGCCCGTGGGGAGCAGGGCCGCCCGGGACCCGGGGAAGGGTGGAAGGGTTGCCCGTGGGGCGCAGGGCCTAGCGGCGGGAGGAGGGTGGCTGGGCAAAGGCCAGCAGAGCCTGCTAGGAAGTTCCAGCGAGGGCCCTAACTTTGCCCCGGGAGTGGGGGGCGCGGGGAGGCTTCGGGTGGGCTGGGGTGGCCGGAGTATATGCCCTCCAGGGAGAAAGAGGTGGTGTACAACACTGGGGGTCGTTTCCAGCTGGACAAACCAGCGCCAGAGGCGATAGGGCCAGCGACCATAGGACGACCCCAAATCCTGGGGTGGGGGACGGCAAGAAAGGCGGGGTCCTCAGGTGAGCCAGGAACTGCCGGGGAGGGGCCTCGGGGTTCCCCGGCTAAGCTGTTTGTGGCCGTGGTGGGATGGGGTCGTTGGGAAAGGCGCGCCCCGCCTCGCCTGGCACGGCTGCTTGGACTCAGACAGCTTGTCGTTCGTGTGTGTTGGTGTCCATATTGTGTCCGCCTGTGCATGATCTGCGCTCCAGTGTTCCCCAGTTCCCATCCCTGGCACCCCCAAATCACCCGCCGACTGTGTACTTGTACGGGGAATGGGCTGTCTTGTGTTGTGCGCCATGGCGCGGGCAAAAACTTTCCGTGTCCGCACTCCCTGGTGGTACCTGTGAGCTGGCGCTCTGCAGCGGGCGGCACGGAAAATGCAGAGAAGGCTGTGGGACATCTTGGGTAATGTGTGGGGCACCTCGCGCAGGGGAAGGGGGCCGCCTCCTGATGGCCTCCATAACCTTTTTTTCTATATGTCTTTCTCTCTTTTTTCCCTTTGCGCTAAGCGTTTCCTCTCTTCTCATTCGTTCGCCAAACCCTCCCGCCTTTACGGTTGAAAAAACCACTCAGGTATCTGGGGCGTCAGGGGCTGCACACATAAGTTCGGTATTCTGCACACACTCGGCTCACCTGGTGGGGGGAGGGTGGGGTGGGGGAGGGGAAAGCACACCAACCTGCTCTGGGCAAGTCTGGATCCAAACCACACGGGGTTGGTTCCGAGGGGCGGGGGCGTGACTCTTTTATAAACATGAAATAATTTTCCCCCCCTACGGACGAGCCCGAGGTAAGCCAATCATTTACACTTTCACACTCATGCAGTAGGAGGGGCTTAGTTAAAAGAGGGGTGCGTTGGGAGTGGACTGCAGTCGTGTTTAAAATGCAATTAAAATAAATCATTTTTTAAAATGCTCCGAGTGTATTTTAAGTGTGTGGACAAAATGTGATAACATTGACTATGACTTGTGAAATCTGTAAATGTCTGCATGTGAATCTTTTCAGGCAGCTTTAGCTGGGGGCAAAGAGGCTCAAAGGTAAGATCCTCTGCAAGTGGGCTGGTGATGAAGAAAAATTAAAAAGGTCTTGTGTTCATAATCATATTAGAAGGGATCTTTCGGGGCCCTCTGCCTGCCCCCTTTGCTTTGGGGTGGGGGCCCCACACCTCCCACCACAACAAGACCCCTCCCTTATTTTCAAATCCTTCCTGGCCCCTCCCAGTCTCCACCCCCTTTTCCTCCTCAAGACTCCTTTAGCTCAAACCTGGAGCATTGACTCTTTGTGCCACAGTTAATCACAGCAGTAATTAGCAATGGTCTGAATGTGTGGCTTAAATGAAAATTCCAAAGTGAATTTCTTTATTTTATTCTCTAAGACCTTTCAAGGGATTTAACGATCACCATTTCTCAGGCTTTGCTAAATGTTTGTTAAGTATTTTATAATGTGTCCTGGTTTTAATTAATGACATTATGGACATGACTGTATGCTGTTGTGATGTGCATCTCTCACAAATCACAGTGTTAAATGTGATGGTCATTGATGCCCACCCATAGAGATAATGACATCATCATTTCCCCAAGAACATAGAGGAGAGGGAGCTTAAATTTCTGATGTTCCACTGCACCAAAGCCACTGAGCCTCCAATGACAATACCCTGTTTTCCTGCAAACAACTGGTTTTGCCACAACAGTCCCATTTCAAGATTCCAAGCATCGCTTTGGGGAGCAAACCCATGATGGGGAAGGGAGACACAATTGGGTAAAGACAGGAGAGTCAGTTACAGTGTGCACTTGGCCCTAGTGGGTAGTATCCCTTGCCTTCTGGGGCCTCAGTTGCCTCATTTGTGAAATGTCTATTTGAGGTGGGGGAGGGAGGGTGCAGAGCCAGGAGCACAGTCCACTCAAATCAGCACTGGAGGCTTATACCATAGATGATGCAAACATCAACCCAGTAGCAAATGGTCTATGTCTGAGGCAGAGTCTTAAGAATATTAGAAGTTCCCTTGTTTTGTATTGGGGGGCGGGGGGCATGTTAACCTTAATCACAGGAAATTTGCCATCATCCTGGCTCTGCTTCCAGGGTGGTGGTCCAGCAGACCCACCTCAGCCACAGGTAGCATGACCCTAAATCAGAGAGCCAGGCTTATGGTTTCTGACCAGGTTTCATTTTGCCCAAGTGCCAAGAGAGGTACCCCATCTGGGTCTGAGTTACTCACTGGGGAGGGGGAGAGTAGGGAGAATGAGGCCTTACATTTAGAACAAGCCTTTTACTAACATTCTATTCCTAACACATAAAACAAGACATCCATCTTCCTGCCACTGAACATGCAGAACAAATGACCATCCTTTGATGTGGCTCTGAATTTGTGACACGCAGATTCATCTGTGGCTTTAAAAATGTGTGTGTGCATTTGTATATATGTGCCCTCTGTGTTTTTATTGCCCGAACAGCTTAACATTACAGGGATTTTAAAAAAACTATAGTTGACATACTATATTAATTCCAGTTCTGCTGCATAGTGATTTGACACTTATATCCCTTACAGAGTGATCATCACAAAAAACCTAGTAACCATCTATCACCATACAAAGTTATTACCATATTATTGACTATGTTCCCTCTGCTGTATTCAGGGAACCTTAAAGGAGAAAAGATAGGTAGGTAGGTAAGTAGGTAGATAGATAGAATCAATGACATGACTAGAATATCTAAAGTGTTGAAGCCTTTTTTAATTCAACACTAGCCAATAATAGTGTTGCCCTTTGGATAATTTTGGTGGCTTTACCATTTTTTGGAACCTAAATTTCCTCATGTCTTAGGAATTGAAGGGGCTGCTATATTAGAATTTCTTAGTAGCTGCTGTATTTATTAAAATTGTGCAGACAAAACGCTCTATGTACTAATGGCCATTCTGCCATGATGCTTTATTTAGACAGTGAGTCTCAATTAATTGATGACTTATTTATGGTACCAGCCACCGGGTGCAACAGTGCTGCATTGCAGCCATCTTGTAGGAGGCCTTTTTTTTTTTTTCCTCAATACACCCATTTTTCTGTATTCAAAATGCTCCACTGAGCTGTTTGGTGCCATGGAGAGGATGTGGCCTATCTGGCCACAACACTGTTAGAATTAAGAAAGACTTTTATTATTTTCCCTCCTCTGTCTCTCTATAGTAGTTCGTGTTTCTCAAAGGCCGAAGTTCTTTCCTGTGTTTTAAAATCCAATTTCCCCTAGATTTCTCTCAAACAAAAATGTGTTTTTTCTATATAGGTAGGTTAGGTTTTATAATTCATCCACATTATATACCATGAAAAACTGGTATGAAGCTGTTTTGTGTGTCCCCTCCTGACCCCACAGAAGAGGATACACAATGGCCCTGGAGTTCTTAGTAACCAGTAATAGCAATGATTCTGCATAATGACAACACATTCTCATTGTATTTTTTTAAAAGCCTTTCATGGAGTCACATTTGTCCTTTGAAACAGCCTTGGGCAATAAAAACACGCTAGGACCCCATTTCATAGGCAAATCAGAGATTGAATGTCAGGGACTTTTGCTCAAGGACTGCAAGGTAAGTGAAGGAATCCATGCTTATCCAACAACGTGGCAGTAGCTGAATTGCATTATTAAATGTACAGCATGATTGCAAGTGTACTGTGTGCTCTTAAAATCCCTTGTCAGATGACAGGTGACCAGCAGTCTTCTGCTTTCTGATTTACAGCCAAAGCCTGACAGATTCCTGGTTATAAATGTCCATGGAGTGTGTGTGAAACGAGAGCTCCCCCATTCCAGAGACACCTGTCATTGCTATGGTGAGATCTAGTTTCCACCATTTGCTTTAGCTCATCAGCCAACACTGCAGTCTTAGCTCATTTGTTGGGCTTTTTTTCCCCTTTTTCTTTTAAATGCAGGTTTTCTTTTGACTCTTTTTAAAATCCCCCTGTGGTTTTCTTCAGGATCTAAAGCTTTCCCACTGACTAAGGTTTCCACTAAAAATAATAATAATTTTAAAATGGGGTTGTTTTTATGCATTCTTCCTTACATTTTTAGTGTTCTGGTATAATAGACTATTTAGAAGCCTGCCTTGGATCTAATGACCCTATTAAAATAACTGTTGCTCAGAGTCCTTCGGAGTGATTTTTTAAAAGTGCTTCTTCCTCTCAGTAAGGGCTGATTCCTGCTTAGTGAGAGTCAGTGCATAGTCTTAGAAATCACCTTTGATTTTACGCAGGAAGGTCAGTATTAAGCAAGAAAATAAATTTCCTTTTAGGAAGATAACCTAATTGACTAGATTTGAAATTCTCCACACTGGCCATGCCTCTTCTTTTTAGAATTGATTTCCCCACCAAATAAAACAAACCCCTCACCCCCAGCAACATTACGCTTCTTAAAATGTCTTTGCATCAGGTGACTTAGGAAGCATGTGAGAGCCAATGAAAATTGGTCTCTGTGCTTCTTGTTTTCTTTCACCAGGGGCCAAGTGGGGTTTTCCCGGGTCCCAGTGGAATGTGAAATTAACCTGACAGTTGTCTATTTTAAAATCAAATTTATCAGGTGATGTAGCACTTTTCAAAACAAAGGGCAGGGTCAGTTGATACAACGGGGTCCCCACCATTAATGGAAACAGGTGGTCCAGGAGAGAACTAATTGTATTAGTCAGTCT